GTCCTGATCATAAGCAGCAGCGCCCCATCCCGCCACGCGGAAGGCGGGGACAGGCCGTCTAGGCCAGATCCATCACACAAAGATTCGGCCACTTTTTAGCATCAGCGGCGCACCCGTCCCCTCAGCATTGAACCCCCACGCAGAGTCCCGGGGACGGCGAGCGAGAAGCTGGCAGGGCTCGGGGAGGATGCCTCTGGTGAAACGCCTCTGGAGGTCCTCGGTACAGTTTGCCAAACGGCGAGCAGCAGCTTTGACATCAGGGGGAGGTTGTCCCTGCGCCAAGCGTCTCGCACAGGGCAGCAAAAATGGCGATGAAACAACGTGCCTAGTTCTCCACAGAGAAGGCACGCACTCGAAAGCTGAGGGTCATGCTGGTGCAACCGATGCTGGCACCAGTGTGAGCCTTTGACCAGGCCTCTCAAGGTCCGCTGCTCCCTGAAACCCCAAGTCCTACCAGTACCCTCCTGCGCCTCCTCATCTTCAGCGACCTTGAGATGGAGGCACTCGTTCAACGGGCGACAAAAACACCTCGCCCTGCCATGCCATGCCTCCTCCTATCTTGGCCCGGCCTGTCCAATCAGACAGCCGCCTGGCTGCAAACTTGGCACGGCGCGCCACAAAGGGCGGGGGGCACCTCTCTGAAGTCCCACTGAACCTCTGCGGACTCTTGGAGGGTTCACGGGTCCAGAAATGAGAGGCCTACTCTCTGGGCCTCCTAGATGGTGTCCGAGCGGATGGGGTCGGAGGATCGCGCCGCATCGTCGATGCGTCGGCGATGCGGCTCGGTGTGGAGCCCGATTTTCTACACGCGGGAGTCGCCGATGCATCGCCCCATGCATCGGCGATGTGTCGCCGATGTATCGGCGCTGCGGTGCGGTCCTCCGACCCCATCTACTCCGACCCCATCTGGGAGGCCTCTATACACGATTCAAAGTCAGAATCCGGGCAGCTACGGGGTCCTGCACAAGGGCCCACGGCCTATTCCTGGCGGCCGTTTCGAGACCCGCGGAGAGACGTGGGCACAGCCTCAGAGAGAAGGCGCTCCTGCAACATCCGAGCATACGTCTTGATCGCCTCTGAGGTCGCCAGCGCCAGGGGATCTCGAACCCAGCCGCCCAGAGAAAGACCGATATCAACATGTGATTATATATTGAGAGAGAAAGGGAGAAAGAGAGAGAGAGAGAGAGAGAACAAACAACAAACAACAACAAAAACAAGAGAGAGAGAGAGATAGAGAGGGAGAGAGAGAGAGAGAGAAAGAGAAAGAGAGAGAGATAGAGAACGAGAAAGAGAAAGAGAAAGAGAAAGAGAGAGAGAGAGAGAGACCGAGAGAGAGGGCTTTTTCACGCCGACTCTTATCTTAACCCGCCGACGGGTTTCCTAGCAGACCTGGATCGCACAAGTGACCGCATTGTGTTGTGCGCAATCAGAAAACCGGACTGGTGTACATTGAAATAGCTGGTGGATGAGCAGGAGGACGAGCAGGAAGAAGGGAAGGAGGAGGACGGTGAAAGAGGAGTAGCAGCAACAGGAGGAGGAGGAGGAGAACAAAGAGGAGGAGGAAGAGGAGGAGCGGTGGGAACAGGAGGACCATGGGAAAGCCGAGGAGGGGAGAGGAGGAGGGCGGAAACGACGAGGAAATATCTGATTCAGTGTGGCCCGCGCTGGTATCAAAGCATTTTGAGCATCGTGAGCAATGCTCCGATCCTCAAATAGCAGTGGGAGCACCATTTTGTTGGGAAAACACCTGCTCCGACAAACATAACTTTTGGTTGCCCGCGCGGGCCCCCAAACAGTTCGATGGTGTGCCCTGGATGAGTACCAGCCGGTGTGTAATCCTTGTGCTGTGCATTCTACGTGGTCCAGTGCTATGAGCTATAATTGCGCAGTGCAAGATATATGATGTGCAGTGCGATCCGCGTGGTACAAGCTACGTCGTACACTATAAACTCTAGACGCCTCGCGCAACCCCACCAGCCCATCCAGACACGATGCCCAGACGAGTTGTCCTGATCAGGGATGTGGAGGAGCATGCAGTGGAAGCAAGGGCTGGATAAGTCATACTCCAAGAGGGGTAGGAAGGATGGAGGATGAGCAGGAGGAGGAGGACGAGGAGGAGGATCTAGAGTAGAGCGGCAGCGTGCGGAGCACTCTCATGCCATCAGGAAACAGGAAACAGCAGGAGTAGGGGAAGGGGGAGAAAGAGAGATGGTGAAGGAGGAATTGGCGGATGAGGAAAAGGAGGAGGAGGAGGAGGAGGAGGAGAAGGAAGAGGGGGGCAACCAGAAAGGCTAGAGGCCTCCTGGATGCCTTCCAGAGTCTCTTCGGGTGTTAATCGAGAATTTCTTGGAATCCTCTTGGGGCGTCTTGGGGACTCTTGGCGGTCCCGAGGGCCTCTTGGGGCGCCTGGGGTGCCTCTGGGGGGTCTCTTGGGTCGTCTTGGGGGTTTCTTGGGAGCCTCTTGGGAGCCTCTTGGAGACCTCTTTAGGGCCTCTTGAGG